CGGGGGGCACGGCCGGTCGCTGGTCGCTGCGGCGGCGGCAAGGAGAACAGGCCGGCAGACGGGGTCTCCATGCCTGGCTTGTTGGCTCATTACACCACCCAAGGAACTTGCGAAAGGCGTTGAAACTGAGAGGCGCGGTGGCCCTCCCCAGCCAATTCGAGGGCGGCTATTGTGAGGCCTCTCCTCCCAGACTCATGACCCCTTCTCGAGCTCCCAAGCTTTCCTGCTCCCTGTGGTCAGTGTTTTATGTGCAGAATGAGAGGCCACTCTGCTCTTAAAGAGGCTACAGCTGCAGCTTCCACTGAGCTGCCCACCCACCACCCCCATCCTGCTGGACAGCTGGGCACCGTAATATTCTCATTTGCTCACTTTTCTCCACCTCTGATGTCCAGTTTTCCCCCCTGGGCCTGCCATCACCTCCCCAGAGGTCCCTGATTCATCTTGACCCTATGCGATCCACTCCCCACATACAAAATAGGAAGCAGCCTCTTCCCTGCTTAACACTCCCCCCACCTGGCTCCCCAGTGCTCCGGGAGAAAGTCCGTTCTCTTCTGGGCCGCTGGCCAGATCTTGGTAACCTGGCCCCCACTGAGGTCTCTCCAGCTTAGCGACCCCCTTCCTCCAGGACAGTCAGGGCCACATCCACTGTCACTTCCAGACTGCCCTGTCCCACCTGTGGCTCTTCAGTCCACTCTCCTCCTGGCCACCCCTCACTCATCTTCTAAGTCTCACCTTAGACATCACCTCTTCCTTCCCTAATACACCCCCCAGCCCACATATAAGGTGGTCGGTTAGGGTTGCCCCAGTCCCTTCCGTTCCCCATTGCAGCTGGCTGTGTTGCATCAGCCCAGGTACTTCTCTCCACTGCCACCCACTCTCACACTGCCCCATTTTTTGTGCTCGGTGACTCGCACACATGTCCTCAGCCACCTTAGAGCAGGCCTTGATATGTTCACCATGAATCCCCAGAGGCTACAACAGTGTGTGGGGCACATAAATGGCACTCGGGGGCCAGGCGTGGTGGCTCACGCCTGTAATCCCAGCACTTTGGGAGGCCAAGGCAGGTGGATCACTTGAGGCCAGGAGTTCGAGACCAGCCTGGCCAATCTCTACTAAGAATACAAAAATTAGCCGGGCATGGTTGGTGGGCATCTGTAGTCCCAGCTACTCGGGAGGCTGAAGCAGGAGGATCGCTTGAACCCAGGAGGCGGAGGTTGCAGTGAGTCGAGATCACACCACTGTACTCCAGCCTTAATGACAGAGTGAGACCCTGTCTCAAAAAATAAAAATAAATGGCATTTGGGGAACAGTTGTTGGATGAATGAAAGGCAACTCATCCTGCCAGCGGGTGCTGATCAGCCCACCTTACAGAGAAGGAAACTGAGGCTGGATGAGGCTCAGTATTGGCAGCTGGAAGGTGGCAGTGCAGCAATAGAGCCCATGTCTCTAAGACTGAGACCAAAGCTCTCTTGGCTATGCAGTGTGGTCCTTGGACCAGCGTCATCAGCAGCCTCACCCAGGAGCTGGCTAAAATGCAGAGCCTCAGCACCGCCCAGACCTCCTGAATCGGAACAGGCCTTTTAACTAGATCCCAGGTGCTGGGCACGTGAGGGAGAGTCTGAGAAAGGCTGCTGTCTCACTTCCAAGGACAGGCTGCTGGGAGTGTGTGTGGAGACTGGGACAAGCCCCAAACGGGGGCCTGCCACCCTGCTTTCCACAAAGAAAATGGCCAGGCACAGTGGCTCATGCCTGTAATCCCAGCACTGGCCAACATGGTGAAACCCCATCTCTAATAAAAATACAAAAAAATTAGCTGGGCATGGTGGCACGCGCCTGTAATCCCAGCTACCTGGGAGGCTGAGGCAGGAGAATCTCGAGCATGGGATTGAACCCGGGAGGCGAAGTTTGCAGTGAGCCGAGATCGTGCCACTGCACAACAGTCTGGGCAACAGAGCGACTCTGTCTCAAAAAAAGAAGAAAAGAAAAGAAAAGGAAGAAAAGAAAGAAAAAGAAAAGAAAGAAAAGAAAAGAAAGAGAGAAAGAAAAAGAAAGAGAAAGAAGGAAAGGAAGGAAGAAAAAGAAAGAAAGGAAGAAAAAGAAAGAAAGGAAGAAAAAGAAAGAAAGGAAGAAAAAGAAAGAAAAAGAAAAACGAGAGGCCCCGAGGTTGGGGTTGGGAATGGCATGGGGGATGGGCTGTGCATCCAGATGCAGACCCCAGGGCTCCCTGGGCACCCCGCCCCACCCACCTTCCGCCTCTGCTCCTCCTCCTCCTGCATCTTCAGCTGCAGCTTGCGCACCATCACCTGGCGCTTCCACTCGGGGATGGGCCGGCCCTGCTCATCGTGCGTGGGGATGAGCGCCTCCACGTCCAGCTGCACGCCCGGCGCAGGAGTAGTGGGCGGCACCGGAACCAAGCTTCCATTGAGCAGCGGCTGAAACCCCGCAGCTGGCGGTGTGGGGCTCCGGACTGGTGACAGTGCAGGTGACACAGACGGCAGCGGTGAATCGGGCTGCAGGGAGAAGCGGTGGGGCTGAGCGCCCGGTGGCCTGGGGCCAGGGAAGCCGGGTCGCAGGCTCCTGCCAGGCCCGCCTACCTGGAAGGCCGGCTGCCCGCTGCCTGAGAACACTGTGGTCAGCCCCTTGCTTTGCGGCGTAGGCTTCAGGCTCTTGCCAGCCTTAATCTCAGCCAGTAGCTCCGAGTTGTCGCCCGTCGGGGACATCATGTTGAAAGACTTGGTGCCTATGCAGAGGCAGGAGATGAGGCACTGGCCAGGGTGGGGCTGCATCCCTGCCACCCCTCACCCGCCCCTCTGCAGCCCCCTTCCCAAGCCAAGATTGGCTGGGTGCCCATCCTCGGCCCCAGCAGGCAGCTCTCCAGATCCCAGGTCCCACAGGCTGCTTTCAGGGCCCCCAGAGGTGGGCCCTTGGTTCCCCGACTGTGACAACCCCACTATCCTCCCCACCCTACTCACGGGGTGGAGGGCCCCCGCCTGGAGGACCCTGGGAGTTCATGGTGGCTCTTGGGCATATGTCCCCGCCCAGCTACTGACTGCCCAGCTCCAAAACAATACCTGGAATCAGCCACCCGACCTTTGTCCCAGGTTCCCTGGCTCAGCCCGGCTGGGGTGGAGCCTCCCTCTGGCCCTCTCCCTACATCAGCAAAGCCTCAGTGACCCTTGAACTGAGTCAATTGGGGCCTCCATGGACATACAGAGTCCGGACCCTGGAGTGTCAGTACCCACCTGGTCCCCTCCCTCCCCACCACACCCACAGACAGACGCACAAGCAGACACATTGTTTGCAAGCCGGGAGCACATTTATGGCAAAGCGAGGCTCAGCTCTAGGGGCCCAGGAAAGCAGGGCCCTTACTGAGGCTACGGCAGGCACCCAGGAAGAAGGGCAGGTGGGTAATATGCAAATACACAGGGCAGAGGGTGCATTTTCCAGCTTAGCCGGAGGAGGCAAATGGAGATTTGGAGAGAGGTCTCTTGAGCCCGGATGAAGGGGTCAGGTCCGGGAGGGAGGAACAAAATGGGCTGACAGCTCTTGGATTCCCAGACTGGGGATCCCAGAGTACAGTCACAGGGAGGAAAAAGAGGAGAAAGGGAAAATCGGTGTGGCTGGCTCATTTATTTAGGCAAAACCACCAGCCAGGCGCAGAATGCTTAGGTGCGTATGTGGGTATGAGGGTAGGTATGAGGTGCAAGGGCCCACCCATGCATCGAGTTTCTCTCGCCTGCCAGCCCCTGCCCTTTCCTCGAGTCTGGGCCCCTCCTGCCTTGCTTTTCCTGCCTCTTCCCCCCACCCCGCGCCTCAGCCTCAGCCAGGAGCCGCGCACGCAGCTACTCACTCTTCCTGTGCCTCAGGACTCTCACTTCTAGGGACCAAGAGGAGAGAAGTGACAGTGGAGTTAGGAGGGAGAGGGGGTCAGGATGAGACTGGGACAGCAGGGGACAGGGAAAGGGCCAGGGAGAGCGGGGGGTGGGGGGAGTGGAGAAGAGAGGAGGAGCTTTTCTGCCCATCTGGCTCTGGCCCCGGCTGCTCTGGGGCCTCAAGAGGGTGGTCCATCGAGTTCCCGGCTTGGCTGGTGCCCCTGAGGGCTGGACAGGGCCACCACTGGCTCTAGCCCCTAGCAAGGGCCTCCAGCTTGGCACTGGGTTGTGGTAGGGCACCCAGCCCTGGCTGTGCTGGGTGGGGGTGTCTGGGGAAGTCCAGAGTATTTTTCTCTGCCCTTAGCTTCAGCCCTGCTGCAGGCTGTGGAGGGAAGGAGGAGGAGGCTGGGCAGGTGCTGGACATGCTTCCATGGGCTCTGGTGTGCAGGGGCTGGGGCTCCACAGGAACCGTAGGGGGACAAGCTCTGCTCTGCACTCCTAATCAGGGAGACAAAGCTTTGGAGGGTGCCACTAAGCATGATCTCTGCCCTGAGTGGCTGGGTGAGGAAGGCATCCCAGCCAGGCTGAGATGGGAGCACCACATCTAGACACCCTGTCCTGGGCCTTCTAGGTATCCTGGCAGGGGGACACTGTCCCACCCTACAGAAAAGCAGCCCAGGAATCCTGCACCAGTCTAGCTCTTAGAAAAGGATGCCGGCC